ATATATAAACAGAGTTGTCAACTGGGAAGGATGAAGACACAAATAGAGACACAGTCAGAGGGGCAGTGTCAGAGCAGTGGACTGTGCGTGGAGGAGCGAAGAGGAAAAGGGTCAGAAAAACAGGATGACGAAGGAGCCACTGAGGCTGCATGTGTTGTGGACAGAGACGGTCATTAAAAGGAGACATGCTAAGTTAAGTGTGAAACTGGAAACCAGTGAAGCACAGCTGACTGCTAAAAGCCTCATTGTGGGAACTTCACTTCATTCCCACAGTGAGGAGAAGCAGTGGAGAGGTGAAACGCAGGTTGAGACTCACTTCACCTCCTGACCGTACGGCATTCATGATCAATACCGGTACAGTTCGGGGCAGAATTACCAGCAACAAGAAACTGCACGCGTGGAAAGAATGTAGAAAAATACGCAAGTGAATTAAAGTTTATGTGACTAACATTAATAAAAGCAACAAGCTCTGTTTTTATGAAGGAAAATCAAAACTACAAACATAAAATATAACATTGATCTAATTACGAATAATGATAATGATTTTAAATAGATCTTCCTTTTGTTCTTAAATCCTCGTATAAGTAAATTAAGCACTGAATGATAGCTACACAAAGGTTTCTATATATCCTGATGGTGACAGAATCAAAAAGGTTTTTATGAAAACAAAAGTTAATTAGGATCCAATGTGGTTCATAAGATTGTTAAATCACTGCTCCGACACTTCATATTAACAATGTTAGTTTTGTTAGTAAAATATCTTATGAACCACTGTAAACTCTCAGAAAGTAATCATTAGATGGACAGTGATAAGTTACTGATTTATTTTTGGGATTAATTTAAATCAAGACGGCTACAACTAATTAACTCTAGTCAACAGAAAATAACCATAACTTAGTCCAAATTACAAATACTGTATTAAAATTCGATGTGGTAGTAGCTGAGAGACATATTTAACAAATACTCTGTAACAGAAAAATTTTGGTGATACATATCATAGGGGTTGCAAAAGATTTAAGTTTAAAAACAGAGTATAAAGAAGATAAAATCTGATTAGATACAGTTTATTTTTATGCAATCAGAAGAAAACTGAACAAAAGCGAGAATTGCATTTGTGTTTCACATTGCTTACATCCATCCAATAAGCCCTAAATAAAAATTTATAGAGTATCAAGACATGAAACATTGCAATATTTTAGTGTATCGATAATTTCTTACACCTCTAACACACCTATCAATCTCACATGACCGTCATTTACACGGTTTGACCAAAACAGTGGTAACTACGTTCCTTTTCATCATAAGTTGATCTTCATCTAAAACTCTGGCAAAAAATAAAAAATAAATAAAAAACAGTGGTTAATACACATTTCTTAAGGGAATGTGAGGTCTGAAATATTAATTTTTGATTGAGAAACTCGTAACATTTCATAAGCACAAGTCAAAGAATCTTATTGTTAAAAAACAAAGATTCTTTAAACAAAACTTTCTTTGAAAAGCCCACATCTGAACGTCTGTACTACAGACAAATGCACCCAGAGGGCTCAAGGTGATGCTGTTCATCATTTTGTGTAAAGACAACACAACTATAAAGAAATCAGAAGATGAATAAAGCATTTCAAAGCAAAATGCATCATTCAGTGTCAGAAAACTAGGTTGTTAGTTTGAGCTTTTCAGGGGGACAAAGATCCAAAGCTCACATCACAAAAAATGTAAAAAAATAAATAAATAAAAATGATGGATTGCTGTAAACTTTGCAATGAGTTGTGACCTAAATCCTGTTGAAAACTTTCTGAACTAAACCAGAACAAGAGGCAGACAGATGACGTGGTCTCCAAACTCTTCAGATCTCAAAGAAAATCAAGTGTTTAATGAAAATGCTAGCAGTAAATATATCAGGGGTGGGACTCTTTTACTCTCTCACGATTCAGTTCTGATTTTTGGGGCCACGATTTGATTCAAAACTGATTTTTCATTCAAAGCTGATAATGTGAGCCCATTTGTCGTGTTCCCAAAGTGCTTCATCTTCATTTTGAAAACCTCGCACACCTCGCTCATGTCAAACTCAGACTCATTCAGTAAAAAATAAAATGAGCCCAAATCTTTGCATTCAATGAAGCCAGGATCAGTTGAACCTCTCTCTCCTCAAGTTTTGTAGTTTCCTCTTTGTTTTGGTGCTTTCTGCACATTCATGCTCCAGAAGCAGCTGTATGATGATGTCAGGATGTCCCATAATCGATTTTGGAACATTGTAAATCGATTCTGAATCTCTCTAAGTGAGAATCACGATTCTGATGTAAAATGATTTTTTTGGTGCACCCCTAAAATGTATATATATTTAAGTGTAAAGATAAGTTTTCTGTACATACTATCCATAGGATTTATCAATTCTGACCCACACTGCATTCATTTAAACCAGTGTTTCCCAAAGTTGGGGTCGGGACCCAAAGTGGGGTCCTGAAACATCAAGGTGGGGTCCTGAAACATCAAGGTGGGTCCTGAAACATCAAGGTGGGGTCCTGAAAAGATTTTCTGAATTAATTACATTTTTGCCCTAGTTGTTACAAAAGGAGTGAGGTTAGTGTATTTAAAAT